TTTCCAGAAAATATTGAAACAGCCCCTGTACAGACTCTAGCCCCTAGTCAGGACACTGGCCCTTCCCCAGCCCGATGGAGAGGGAAACACACAGGCACCCAGAGCGTGGGGCCTCAGGCTGGTGAAGTTCTACGTCTGCGTCTCTCCAGTGAGCCACGTGCCTACCCCAAGGCCGGTGCTGCCAGGAGGCCCTGTCCATGTCTCCCAGCTCCTGACTCCTGGCCCAGGCTCAAGTTCCCTCCCTCCTCCGTCACAGGGCCAGAGAGAGGCACCAGGTGGAGGATGCTGCAAGGCACCAAGGCCCGGAGTGGCAGGGAGCCCACTGGGAGGGAACACGATGCCTCGAGCACCTATCCCGGTGTCCCACTGGCCCTCACAGAGGGGCCCGAGAGGTGTGTTTAGTGCCTCTCACAGGTGAAGGAACACAGGTGAGGTCGCGGGCCACGCGGCTGGGTGTGGCTGAGTTGTGCTCTGAGCCCAGCCTGCACCACGCCCGGGCATGCAGCCTTCACTGAGCCCACAGAGACACTCACAGAAGCCATGTCCAGCTACCATGCTCCTGACCCGTGGTCAGAGAGGAGGGAGACGTCGACACTTAGCCTCGAGTGTCACCGAGGGACACGCCAGGATGGGGTGGGGGAGGGAAGACAAAGACTCGGGAGGGGAATCGGGCTGCTTCTCCCTCCCTGTGGAAGTGGATCCGGAGGAAAATGTACATCCTGGCTTTCATCCCTAGACCACAGAGAATTTCCAGGAGGGGGACTAAGGAATCTGCATTTAAAGAAAGTCCCGAGCGGAAAAGCCGCCGATATCTGTACCACGTTTTGAAATGCATCGGAAGAATTGATAAATAAGATAAGTTGGTGGGGGGGGGGTAGAGAGGGAGGGGCGGACAGTACAAAGCAAAATAAAGCAAAATGTTGTCGGGAATCTAGACGGGGCAACACTATACAGTCGTCCCACTCTGTGTGTGTGTGTAAGAATCATTTAATTTTATTTATTCATTCATTTATTTAATTTGGCCAGAGAGAGACACAGAGAGCAAGAGGGAGGGAAAGTGAGAAAGCAACCACGGTTGGTCATGTGGGAGTGTCCAGCACTTTAACCACCATGTCACCTGCTAGCCCTCAACTCTCTGTGTGTTTTAAAAGATGCATAATGAGGGAACCAGCAGTTAGCGTAATGGCTATGTCGCTGGACTCCCACGTAGTCGACTGCGGTTCGCATCCCAGATCCGGTGGCTTAAAACTCACGCCGGGCTCGTGTGCGTGCGTGCCCAAGATCCCGAGAGGAGAATGGAGGAGAAGGGATTGTGGTGTGACCATCTCCCCTGAGGGGTGATTTCTCGCTTTCTGTCTCTCTGTCTCTCTCTGTCTGTCTGGTGAGCGCACGTGCCCTATGGCAAAAACCTCTCCAAAAAAAAAAAAAGATGCATAATGAGATGTGGGGGGGGGAAGGGGGTGCTTTCCCCCGTGAATGTGCTGACAGGCAGGGTCTGGGACCAGAGCTGCAGGGGGAGGTCCCCCGGAGGGCTTCTGGAGAACTGGCTGCCCCGGGAGGTCCCCTCTGCTGCCCGACCCTCCTCTTTCTCC